AGCTGTGGGGTCACGAGAGGCGGCCTTTCTGGAGCCAGATCCTGGCCTGGCCAGCTGTCATTCGCTACTTCGCTGCCAACGTGTTCACCCTCTCCGTGTCTGTTCCCTGCGTGGCTTCTTGGTGTGTCGTGTGTCTGACTACTGTGTGGGTAGCTTGTGCGGACTTATGGACTGGGTAGGACAGGGAAGGGAACCCTAAGGCCACCGCCTGCCCGCCCCTCTCCGCCCTTCCCAGGCGGCAAGTGGGAAGCCACCATGTCTCCACCATGGCCTTGGGGGCTGGAAGAGGAGGAGGAAGAGTCGTCGTCATCCTCAAGAGAGGAGGAGGAGTGGATGAAGGAGGAGTGGGAGGAGGAGGATTCTGAAGGAATCAGAGGAGTGGGACTCCGTGGTGGTGGTGGTAGTGGTGGAAGAGAAGGCAGCTGTTGCTGTTGAGACCTAGGCTGCTGCAGCTGCAAGGCTGGGGCACGGGGAGGAGGCAGCAGAAGCAGTGGTGGTCGCGGTCTCGGGGGTGGAGGAAAGATCCGGGGGCGACTTTGCTATCAGGGACCAATTAAGCCTTACCAGCAGGGGCCACCACAGCGCCAGGGTGTTCTTAGCAGCCTTACAGAACCTATTAAGAATCTTGTGCCACAGTGGCTACAGACATACTTCAGTAAGAATGAAGATCCATGTGGCTGCTCAACAGACACAAACGAGGTAGCACACGGGTCACAAAATACAGATGATCACGTCATGTATGTAGAGGAGGACAGCTCTAGTATCAGTGACAGCCATAGCGTTCCTGATTCAGCAGTTGGTAATATAGAAGCATCTTCAGCACCTACTACTGCTTCCAATGCACTCCCAATTGGCAGTTGTGCAGAAATGAGAGATCCTACCTCTCAGGGTTGTGACATCTCAACCACTAGTTGTTCTTCCAGAGCCTCTGATAGACACAGAGTAGTTTCACACAACACTCCATTGCCACCTCGGGGGTCCCTGGAGGCTGAATGTGCTCATCCTGTCTCACGACATAGTGCCTACACCACCCCAAAAACAGCATGCAACTTGTCTGGCTTTGGAATCCTGTCCCCCTCGCTTGCCAATTTCTCAAATCCTAAAACAAGTCAACTCAGAAATTCTCCCTTTTATCCTGGAAAAACACATGGTGGGGCAGCAGCTGCTCTAAGGCTGAGTCAACTATGAAAGACAACGTATCAGGTGCCAGTCACAAAGATGAAAGCCAAGCCACTCCATGTGCAACCTTATGATATAAGCAATTTAACAGCTCGCATGACAATGCGCTTTCTAGAGATGTCAAGTTCTTTTACAAATGTGGAAAGAATTCCCCATGTTTTTTCCTCTCTGAATTCTCTTGATAGGAGTGGGATAGATATCACAGCTATGCAGGCCAAAAGAGCCAAGGGGAGCTCTCCATATCTCGCTGTTCAAAGCGCCACAACCCTGGAGCCAGTTTCCACAGGAACAAAAAATGCTGTTCCTTTTAAACTACCTCTGACCATATCTAGTGAATTAAGGGAGACTGGTCAAAGAGTAGGTAAAAAGGACAGTAGTGGAAATGAAAACAATGTGATACCTAGACAAAATAGACAACCAGAAAGTGGCTTTCCACAACCAAATTTCAGTATCCCTGCAGCAGATGGCTCATCTTCTGGAGGAGGTGGTGGTAATGAGAGGAGCGGTCAATTCTAAACCTCTAGAGGAGGAGGAAACAGAAATACCACTGTTGCCAAAAATCTCTGCACCAATCACCAGTTCTTCAGTGCCTACCGTCACTCTTAATTCTGCTGAGACCACAACTTCTCCATCATCCATGAGTTCTTCTCAGTCATCAGCAAACAAGGTACAAAGGACCTCTCCCAGCAGCACTGGCAGTCCGGTGTTTACCTTTTCACCTTCCATTATAATATCTACGGAGGCGGTTGTCCTGCCTCCATCATTTACTCCATTTACATTTAGTGTGCCTATTGCAAACAAAGACCTTTCTGGCTCTAGCAGGGCTTCAGAACCAGTTCTGAGGAGTTCAACTCAAAACATCACTGCAGTGAAGAGAACAAACTGTAAGAGGCAAAATGAGGATTTGGAGGACCTTTCACCTGCAAAACTCCTGAAAGGAGGCGTCCTAGATGTTCAGAAAAGCCCTGCAGCTCTCACATGCCAAAAGGGAGAGTCTCTTGCTGCTCAGCCTACCACAGCGGGGTCAGTCATTTATACAAAATCAGCAAGCAGTACCTTTTCTTCTAGTCCAATCAGGTGCGAGGAATGTGCAAAAGCTAAATCATTCTGGAAGTGTGATACATGTCTCTTTCAAAACAATGTAAAACTGGGCCGGGGATTTAGCTCAGTGGCTTTGCTGCCTGCTGCACAAGCACAAGGACCCGAGTTCGATCCCCGGTACCACACACACACACAAAAAACCATGTAAAACTGCCTCCAGGAGAGAGCGTTAAACATGCTGATTCCAGCAAACCTGGCAAAGCAACTCTGCCTGCATCAGGGACAGGCTCTGGAGACAAATTTGAATCAGCAACAGGAACTTGGGATTGTGATACCTGTTTAGTTCAAAATAAACCTGAGGCAAGGAGATGCGTGGCTTATTAAACATTCAAACCTTGAACTGCTTGCTATGAATCCAGTCCTCAGGGGGACAGCAGTTTTAGAAACTGCATTCACTAAGACTAAGTCATCTTCCTGCAGCACTGTTACCTCTGGTGCCTTAAGATTGGGAGGTAAATTCAAAAGGCCTGTGGGATCTTGGCTGTGCCCACTCTGCTGGGCTTCTAATAATGAAGAAGACAACAGATGTGTGTCCTATACATTTGTGAAATCAGCAAGCTCAGTCCCTGCTTTTAGGAGCAGTGGGGTACCTGTCTCTCTGTTTTCTGGAGACCCCCTAGGATTGGCCAAGTCCAAAAGGCCTGAGGGGAAATGGGGCTGTGAAGTGTGCCTAGTGCAGAATCAAGCAGACGCTACCACATGTATAGCATGTGAAGGTGTCAGGCCAGGCACAAAATCTCACTTTCAAGGCCCAGGCACATCTTTCTCGTCTCTGAATCCAGTGGCCTCACCCTTCAAATTTGGTGGCCCTTCATTCTCTTCTGGGCCTTCTCACACCATGACAAACACTGGAAATTTTAAAGCTGGAGATCAGAGAGGATTCAAAGGAAGTGTATCCTCTGACTCTGGGTCTAGACAGCCCAGGAGTGAAGGCTTTAAAATTTTTAAACCCACCAGAGATTCTACATATGGAGATTCAACTGATTCTAACCATGAAGAAGTTAAAACAACACAGTAAGAATGGTAACAATTTTAACTCTAGACTTTCTGCTGGGCAGCCGGGAAAGAAAGAGGAACAGCCAACACAGTGTATTTTTGCTTCTAGAGCGCAAACCAGCATCACAGCTGGTCGAGGTGCAGCAAAGCCTGTTTTCAGCTTCCTGAACAACAGTTCCTCTGGTTCAAGCACACCTGCCACTTCAGCTGCTGGTGGCCTACTTGGCAGTGCCATCTACTCCACTGCACCCGTGGCTGCCCTGGGGTCTGGACGGGCCAGCAAGCCCATGAGCAGCTCTCCTCTCCACCACCCTGTTCAATCCAGTCTTTCTCAGTCTCTGCTATTTTCTCAGGACAGAAAATCAGCAGCCACATCCAGCTCAGCTAGAGCTGTCACCACCAAAATAGGTACTGTATCCCTTTAAAAGCTTGCCTTAGCCCATTGCTTTTGTTGTTTAAAGTGAAGGTTATATAGCTCCTTTGATCTGTAGCTCCACTATAGATAACATCCTAACTCTGAAGAACAAAGTGGGAATCCTTGAACAAACTTGTGATATATGTGCCTTAACTGTCAAGGGTTCAGGACCGTAATCAGTGACAGAAACCACCTGTGTCTAACCATTAAACAGGAATTGGAACTTTATTTACTTAACAAAGACCACTAGGGGTGAGATAATGACTGACGAAAGTATAAAAGGTGATGGACAAAGAACACAGGGCAGGGACTCTGACCAGACCAGTTTCTGGCAGTCCGGCCTGCTTGTGAGTAAACTTTTATTTTACCCAACTTCTGTGTCTCTGTGCATTTCTTTCCACGATTCTGGAACATAAGCACTTATGGGACAAGCTGACACTGTAATTGTATCTGAGGAATTTTGTATACATTAGGATTCTGCATAGATGGGGAGACACTGAAATGAATGATTTCTATGCCGACTATGTGCTGGGGCATGTGTGGAGTTGGGTGTATTGTGCACTAACATTTTCCAACAGAGAAAGCCTGACTGAAGAATGGTAAGCACCTTTTAGATCTGGCTTAGATCTTCTTAAATCTAGTTCATTCTCCATGTAGGAATTATATGCTACTTCTATATTTTCAATTTTCTATCAACTGTCTTTCCTTTTTCATGATTTTATTATTAAACTTCTGTAAATACATGCTGCTCTCTGTAACTTTTTTGCCAGAACATAAATCTGGGAACTTCAAAAAAGGACGCAGTAAACATTCTGAAAGGCCAGCTGGGAAAGTGTGAAACGAGAACTGCGGGGTAATGTCTGACTGGATAAACCTTCCTCCAGAGTCTCCCCCAACAGAACCGCCCTAGGTTGGGGCTGGGAGAGTGGGAATAGGACATCAGCACTTGAGGGGACAGGAAGGAAGGCAGGAGAAGAGCAGAGAAGGGAATTTTGTTTCTGGGTCAGTAGTTTGGGCTTCTGAATTCATGCTCTATAGTAACTTATTTGCAAGGTTCTTCAGGTCCCAATTCTAGCAGTAAAACACCTGACTGAAAAGAATTAGAATTGTGAGTATAATACAGAGTATGCTGTCAGCTTTACAGAAGTAAGACTATAGCCCAGATAAAAGACTAGAAAATTACACACCAAAATACAAACAGGATAGTCTAGAAGTAGTTTTAATTTTCTGATTATTGATAGTTTGTAAATTTGACACACAATACTCATTATCTTTAGAAGAGAATGTTATTTTAAAAAGATGACTATGCTATACTGCAAACTATTTGGGTAACAGGATTGGGAATAGAATAAAATAAAAGCAGGGGCAGGGATTTAGCTTAGTGGCACTGCACCTGCCTTGCAAGTACAAGGACCTGAGTTGAAGCCCCGGTACCAAAAAATAAATAAATAAATGGAAAATCGGGTTGAAACAAAGTTATTTCAGTTCTTATAACAGAAGACTCAAGAAACTGGAGAATTAAACAGGTATTTTAATTCCTAAAACAGAAGACCCAGGAGAGTGGAGAAAGTGTACAATCTTCAGAACTCTTTCCACTTGGAGTAGAATCAGTTTTTAGAAAGTGTAAAGCCCTCTGCATGGCCACAAACCAATGTATCATAGGCCCCAAGAATCTGAGCAGGTCACCCGGGTTGAGAATGGGCGTACCGGAGAAAAGTGACTTGGTGAAGGGCATTTGAACAATTTAGTAGCTGAATTAGATCTAAATCTGAGGTCACAAACTCAGTCCTTTTTTTTTTTTTTTTTTTGGTACCAGGGATTGAACTCAGGACCTTGCGCTTGCACATGAACCACTGAGCTAAATCCCCAGCTCAGGCTTGAACCAACTTGCAAATGGCTTATTGTGGTTGCTGGCGCACCCCCCAAAGCCAGCGCTTAAAATCAGAACTGACTAGCTGAAAAACCCAGATGTTGGATTTTTCTGAGAAACCAGCCCAGTTCACTGCGAGCAGGATGGAGGGGTGCTCCGCACCCTGGGCCTGGGGTTCTGGCAGCCTGGCCTGGCAGGGAGCCCATGTGCGACCCTGAACCCCAAAGGCCCCTGCAGGATGGCTCGCAACACTCAAGGAGGTGCCTCCCAAAGGAACCCCTTGCTACCTGCAGTTGGAAAAATAAATCTCGAGGGGCCATAAGGAGTGTGTCAGCTAGGGCTGCAGATTCAGAGCCTGTCTGTCCTGTGTCCTCGGGCTCCGGAGACCCCGCACCCGCGGGTCCGTTATGCTCGTCCGCGGGGCTTGGGGCTCGGGAGGAAGGGCGGGGCGGCCTGAGAAGTGGCCTGCGAGTGTCCTCGGGTACTGGGCCTGACTGCGGCCCTGTGGGCTCTCACGGTCCGCCCTGGCCCAGGGGTCACAGCCGGGTCTGCAGGGAAGAGGGGTCCCGCCCCAAGGGCTGGACAACAACTTCCTGCGCGTGAGCATGCGCCACACACCGCGAGCTACTGCTCTTGCTGAGGACCAGTGGGCCCTGCCACCCTCCATGCGCCTGCCCGCTAGCCAATCGCAATGCTTCGAGACGTGACACACACCGACCAATGGGTGTCCAAGGTGCCCATAAGGTGCAGGCAATTCCCCAATCAAAAGACACAGAATGGAACAAGAAACAAAATACAGCAGTATGCTGTATACAAGAAACACATTTAACACGAAAAGAAACTCAGAGACTAAAAATCAAAGGATGGAAAACTATAGTCTATGCAACAGTTAAAAGCAGATGCAGCTATCCTATATTCAGACAAAGTGGACTTCAAGCCAAAAGTGATAAAAAGAGGCAAAGAAGGTCACTATATATTTGGTTAAGGGAACAATTCTACCTGGAGATAACAATTGTTAACACACATGCACTGAACAACAGCACACTCAACCTCATAAAACAATTACTAATGAATATGAAAGGCCTAATAAACATGAACACAATTATATTAGGTGATGGTAACAACCCACTATCACAAATGGGTCAACTAGGCAAAAAAAAAAATCAACAAATAAATATCAGAGTTGAATCAAACCTTCAAACACATAGGTTTAATAGATATCTACAGAGGGTTCCACCCAACAACAACAGAATGCACAGCATGTGTAACTTTCTCAAAAACAGACCACATACTACCCACTAAAGCAAGCTTAAGGAAATATAAAAGAATTAATATTATACTATGTATATTATCAAATCATAGTACAGTAAAACTAGAATCAATGATAAAAGAAAACTCAGAAACTATGCAAACGCCTGGAAAGTAAACAATATACTCTTAAAAATGGGTTACATGGGCTGGGGATTGAGCTCAGTGGTGCCACAGCCTGCCTTGCAAGCACAAGGTCCTAAGTTGGATCCTTGGTACAAAAAAAAGGGTGGGGGGTTACAGAAGAAATCAAGGAAGAAACAGGACAGTTTCTAGAAATAAACAATAATCCCAATACAATATACCAGAATATTTAGGACACAATGAGAGCAGTCCTAAAAGAGAAATTTATAGCTGTGCATACCCACATAACAAAAACAGCAAGCCCAAATAAATAACCTAGTGATGATCCACTTCAATGTTCTAGAAAAAGGACAATTCAAACCCAAAACTACAAGGATAGAAATTATAAATAACAGAGCAGAAATCAATGAAATTGAGACCAAAACAAACAAACAAACGAAAACCAATAGGTGGTTCTCTGAAAGAATAAACAAAATATACAACTCCCTAGCCAGTCTAACCAAAAACAGGTGTGAAAAGATCCAAATTAAGAGTATGGGTCTGACTTCAAGTCTATGGGGTCTCATTACACTGCCAGGCTAGTCTTGTGAGCTCAAAAAGTCATACTTCTGCCTTAGCTTCTTGAGTAGCTGGAACTACTGCCAAGACTTTAAATTTTTTAATCACAAATCACCCTACAGTGTTACAAAACACTTTCATCTGTGGTATGTAGGTAAATGTTTACCTATTAGTTCCACTGGGGGGGAACTAATTATCATTATCAACATACTTTACTGAAATACATGGCATGTGACACAATTTACTACAAATATATATTCATTACAAATTTCATATACCTATAACTTCATTGTAACTTGCTACTTCTTTCCAAATTCAGAAGAGTATTTAGTAATTTGTCGCCAACCTTTCATTCCAATAAATCCCCTTTTCAGTTTTAGTCAGTCAATGTCAATGCTTATTGCTCACAACTAATAACTCTGAGTGTTATGTCCCCTGACCCAGCCAGGCCTTTCATACTGACCTATTACAGGGGGTACCAACAATATAAAATAAAAGATGGCAGCTCTACAATTATGCAACGTTGCACCAAAAATTCATCTATGGACAGCAAGAACAATGTACATCTAAAGCACATAACAGAATAGGAAAAAAATGTTCTTTACCTAATTGCATATTTGCAAAACAAAAATGTCTTAAGTCACTTAGTCACTGAGACAAAATGCCTGACCCATGCAACTTAAAGAGGTTTATTTTGGCTCATGGTTACATTCAGCTGGCTCATGGTTACATTCAGCTGGCTCATTCCAGGGCAGAATGAAATGGCAGAGGGGCACAGTGGAGGAAAAGCTGCTCACCACATGGCAACCTGGAAGCAGAGGGCAAAAGGAGGAACAAGAAGAGCAGATATCCCTGCCAGGTCATACCCCCAGCACCCTGTCTCTTCTGACTAGGCCCCCTCCTAACATCACATGTAGGTACAGCACCCCATGATTCAATCACCTTTTAAAGCCCCACCTACAAAAACATGAGGCTTTTGGGGGACATCTAAATGTGAGTCAAAACAAAAAACAATTGTTGTAATTTTAATATATTAAGCATGGGCTTTCTAGTGCCCTCAGACTTAACATTCAACTTGTCTACCACCTATGATCTGAAAAATCATGGGCAGTTTGTGTAGCAGTTGAAAAGTAGGCTAACAATGACTAATTACTCTTTTAAATTTTACTTTCTTTAAGATCAGATAACAGTATACACTTCATTGGCATATAGTGAGGGTTTAAGTCACACAGTACAGTGTGCAGGGTATGGAGTGGCCATCTGAGAATTACAAATTCCTTTCCCAATATTGACAACATAGTCAAGTTGGTCTTTGTATGTATTCAAGTTCTACCAAAGTGAGAGTACCTCCAACTGGGATAATCTTTAGACATGCTGAATTTTGAAGCAATATGATCTCAGAATGCTTGTTCCATTGCTTCTGGCTTCCACTCCAACAATGTTTGTGCTGTCACTTTCCACATGGGTAAATCCACTGCAAAGAAAAGAAAGAGAAGAAACAAGCCAGCTGTTAATCTGAGAAAGGACAAACATTTAAGTAGTAAAAGCTTTTACATGAAGATGGAGCTCAGCCTTCTGTACCTTCTTCCACAAAGTCAACACTATCTGACCCTGTTTACATCTCTTATTTCCTCTGGGCTTTGATTTGAGGACCTAAATTCATTTGTCACAATTAACAAATATCACCACATTCTTAACACCAGGGCATCATGTCAATTTTGTGTTAAAAGAGCAGCATAGTGGGTGTATAATACCAATGTTTATTCTTTAGAATATTTCTATTGATGAATTATTAATTTTAATTTTATAAGCTTTATTATATTAAACAATGAGTACTTAAGAAAAAACAAAAAATATTGAATTTTAAATATTTATTGTTTATAAAAAAAGCATCAAAATTTTCAACATCAACTGTTTTTTGGTTTACAAAGTCTAAAAACTAACAAATAAATTCATACATGAACTACAATGAAAATATCAATAGAACTCTACAACAAAAATAATCTTTACTTCAATTATCACACTTAAGACAGTCTTCACACATGAAAACAGCATGTTCCATACACATGTATCACTTACACTGTCAGCACATGTGCTTAGCTTTCCTGTCTTTTTTGTAGGACATACGTGACACTTTGGTGTTTTGTCAGGAGGTTATTTTATTATACAATGTGTAGTTAATAGGAACATAAAATACCAATAACATAAAGTATTAAATTCTTAATATGTATTGCATGTTTAGAATAAACACCAACATTTTCACATCAGCTGTGTACTTGCTTACAAAACCTAAAAGAGAACATCAGAAATACATTCCTATATGAACTACAATGAAAATACCAACAGAACCCTATGTCAAAAATCATCTTTGCTTCAAATGTTACGTCCAAGGCAGTCTTCACACATGACAACTGCACGTTCTATGCACACATCTTGCTTATATTGACAGCCCATGTGCTTAGCTTTCCTTTCTTGTGTAGCAGGTCATTACTGTTACCTCTTGTCTTCCTCTTTTTGTCAGGAGCTTCTTACTATATTGTATAATGTGCATTTAGCAGGCAAATAAGATATCAATAAAATAAAATATCAAATATGCAATAAGTGCTTAGAATAGACATCAATATTTTCATGTCAGCTGTTTACTTGCTTACAAAACCTGAGATAACATCAGAAATAAAAAATTATGTGTACAATGTAAATACAAACAAAATTCTACCACAGAAATAATCTTTGCTTCAATTGTCATACTCAAGGCAGTCTTCACACATGACAACTGCATGTTCTATGCACAAGTATTACTTACACTGATAGCATAAATGTTTTGTTTTCCTGTCCTTTTTTGAATGGCTCAGATGACACCTTCTTGGTTTTCCTCTTCTTGTAGTACATCTTCATGATGTTGGACCTGCTTGTTCACCTGTCAGCTCACCAGAGTGGTTCACAATTTTTTTGCATAGGTCCCTGGGCAGAAACATTTTGTTCTTCCTCTGTTGCAAATGATCTCTTATGAATTCCAGTCCCAATCCTCCAAGAAAATTTCTCCATGATATTTTGCACTTGTTATTTTCTTTGTAAACTATCAAACTATTTGTGCCACATTTTTAGGATTGAGTAAAACACAACCATTGGCCAACGCTTTGTGTTTTGAGTGCCATCGTAGTTATTGCATAACTCATTAACATCTACTCTGCCTTTGGTTTTACTGTAAAAAGTTATTATCTCAGGATTCTGTTTTGTTGAGGTTTCTCTTTCAATTTTTCCGTGATGGTGCAATGTTAACATCAGAGGTACCAGTTTGTTTTTCTTTGCCATATATGAGGCCAGTGTTATATCTTTCTGAAATCCAAAGAGTACTATACAATTGTTTTGAAATTGCAACATTTCATTGGGAATTTCTGCTTTGCTCTTGTGCCTAGTTCCTACTCTGATCAACTTGTGCTTTGTTAGGAAATGTAACATCAGTCGGAAACTGGTAAACTAATTGTTAAATGTCACATTCCAATTAGTTTGGGGGATGGGAGCAACAAGTCTTTTCACAGCATAATTAGGTTTATTACTATATAAATAAAGACCTGGTGGCTAAGTTCCAGGATGAATTCCTAAATTGAAAGAATAATGTCTTCACATGTACCAGGGTAAATATTTTTATACCCTATTTTGAAGGCTTTTTGGGGGCTTATACCTCCTAAAGCTATAGCAACCACAAAATGCTGTAAGATATTCATCAATAGTCATGCATTCAGATGGCGTGTAAATTCCTTAACAATTAGCAACAAATCTCTCAAAAAAAGACTGGATAGCAGCCAGATTATCAGTTCTTTTGGGTGGTTTTGTCATGAATGTCAGGCATCAGAAATTTTATCATGAATATCAGGCAATTTTGAAGGAAACCAAATCTCCTCAGTGTGTCATTGTTATTCTACAAACCTCAAGCCCACATCACTGCTTCTCCTTAAGTCTTTTACATTCCTGTGATTACTATGAGAAAGCCCCACTAAGTACAGCAAACCTATGATGTTTTCAATTCAGCTAGTGAGGTGTCATAATAGACATATTTTTGAATATGGGTATCAGTGCATAGAGAACATTTTACTTGGGCTGGAGATGTAGCTCAGTGGTGCTGTGCCTGCCTACAAGCACAAGGTCCTGGGTTTGATCCCTGGTACCAAAAAACAAACAAACAAACAAACAAGACGTTTTACTTGTATTTCATCATTTGTGTATTTCACAACACCTTGTAGCATTTCTTCTGTTACAAGCAATTTCCAACACTGAATGGCAGTGCTGGCATTTTGTCCAATAGGTTTCACCCTAGCCAAGATCCTCATTATATTTTCGGACCTAGTTCTGGCATTGGATCCTTCCATTTGGTTGCATGACCATTTTGACTAGATAGATATGTATTCACATTGCTGTTTCCTTCATCAACGGAATGAAGGAGGGCTTCATTCCCTATGTCTGCATTGGTTAATTCTTGCTCCATTTCACTGTCTCAAGAACTTTGGCTCACATGGCCAACATCAAAGTCATCATCATCATCATCTGTGCGTGAGCCACCTGATAATTCACTTTTGGCCTCCTCCAAAACTTGCAAATCTGGTTTTTCATATGCCATTGTACTACTGTGCTACTTCTACCAAAAAAAATCAAAAGAAAACTTTTAAAAAACAAATTCTAAATGCACAGAAATTTAACAATGAGTATTTCATGGGTAAAACTCACCTGTTGCTGCTTTGGAGCTTCTGTATACACCTTGCTGTTCACCTGCAGAGTGGGTGAACAAATGGGTTCTTGGTTTTCCCAGGCCCAGCTACTGTGAACCATACCCACACTCCATTATGGTAAAGTATATGTTTACATACAGAAGAATGGTATGGGTGCATTTACAACCCCTTCTCATGATGCCTAGGTAAACATATGCAAAAAATGTTACATGGAGCACTACATGGGAAAAAATCCTGGTTTGACACTTTTGTAAACATGTGCACACCTTGCTTTTCATAGTAACAAATGGCTAAACATAAAGATTGCTCCCTGTATCCCCCTGGTATAGCTATTGAGATGCATAGCCCATCTACTATAATGCTAAAGTACAAATTTATATTAGAAAAGTTTAGTATGTGTATATTTAATCCACTGTGATGCCCCAAGTTATTAAGTGGGAATATCATTTTGGGGCAGCCCTCCTGACAGTAGCTACCTGAATCATAATGATTCCAACTACTATAAAAAGTTTCTGGACGTTGGGGACATCAGTGTGGTGAGGGTTCAGCTGCCACCTATCTGGCCACAGAGGGATGCAGCCAGGATTCTCCAACAGTGTTTTTTTTTTTGTGGTACCGGGGATCGATTCAACAGTGTTTTTAATGGAGTCAAATCAACATGGTTTGTATATTTTTTCCTTTAATCTTGGGCATTTTCTCTTTCTGAGACTGTAACTTGAAACACTAGAGCCAATAATCCTATACAGAGTGTATCTGCAGACGCTGTACAGTTTTATATACCTTCACAAGGTACTCTGATGCCTTCTAGATAATTTATTTTGAAACACATCACTGCACAGTTTAAATAACTTATGTACTGTAACATCACTTTCAGTTATGTGTAAAGAAATTAATTAAAATACAAAAAAAATTTCTGACAGAAGAGCTTCTAATTTAAGTAATTTGAGTCTGTTGCAAATATATTTATTATTTTTGTAGAATTTCCTTATAAATTTCCTTATAAATGCATAGCATTTTAAAATTGAACAGAAAATTATTTAAATCACTGAAATTCAATTGCCCATTTGCTCTAAAAGGAAATTTAACTGTGTTTCTCCAAAAGGAATAAATGGTTCCCTGCATGCAAAATTATAAAACTAAAACAAAACAAAGAAGAGCTTCTAATTTAATCTAGGCAAGTCTGAATCAATCCCCCAGAATTTAGAATTAACTTATCAATTCCTGGTCAGTCTCACTGTTCTCTTGAATGGAAGAGATATAATCTCAAAAGCTCACAGGTACAGGAATTTTCTACAAAGTCAAAGCATCCTCTGTGGGACACTGGCCAAATATCCACATCTGTCAAACTGTTTCATGTGTAAAATATGTGTATTAGTGATTTTGTACATCACAGGATATCATGTGTAAAATGCAAAGTGTGAGCTAACAACGTAGGGTTTTTTTTGGGGGGGTGTTGAGAGGGGTTCTTGCTATGTATTTCAGGATGATCTAAAACTTGCTATATAGCTCAGGCTGTCCTCAAACTTACTGAGATCCTCCTGCCTCAGCCTCCTGAATGTTGGGATTACAGACATGCATCACTCTACCTACCTAACAATGACTTTTTTTTTCCACAGAAAAAGAAACCTTTACATAGCAGCTGGCCCTCAGCCCTAGTTAGTAAGGGATAAACTGAGTCTTATTAACATCCTTTCCAATATTTCTTTCTTAAAAACCATTCCGGGGTGCGCCTGTAGTTCCAGCTTCTCAGAAGAATGAGGTATGAGATCATTTGAGTGCACAAGTTCAAGACCAGCCTGGGCAACATAGTGAGACCTCCTCTTTAAAACAAAACAAAAAAAAGCTGGGGGTGGTGGCATGCACCTGGAACCCTATCACTCAGGATGCTGTGGCAAGAGGATCACTGCAAGTTGTAAGCCAGTCTGGGCTTACACAGTGAATTCAAGGACAGCTATATAACAAGACCCTATCTCAAAAAACCAAAACTAAACCAAATACTGCTTTTCGTGCCACGTAAGACCATTTTGCAGGAAAAATGAAGAAAAACAGCCAAGTACCTGGCCCATTTGTGGGATCCTCCAAGCAAGTGATAGCAGCTCTTGAGGACTGGAAATTTATTTTCCTTATTCCACACGTAGACACGTAAGGAGAGGTCCATGGAGGTGATGACTCAGTCAAGGTCCTTGAAATTAAGTCAAGTGAGGTGTGGATGTGGACTCCACAGAAGGCAGAGAGTATGCCATGGGTGGGGGCGGGGGTGCTGTACTCACCACCCGCATGGATGTGATGGGCTTCTGGTGGTCCTGGAAAGCTACCAGCTGCAGACCATGTATGGTGAACAGCATCAGCTCCAATCCGGAAGTCAGCCCCAGGAGCAGGGGATGTCTGTTCATTTTCTGATATCATCTTCAATCTCTCTTTTCAGAGTGCCATAGTTTTCAGAGAAGAGGTCTTTGATTTC